CCCTTCTCTTTAAAAACCCCTACCTGTACTGTCGCCGAAAATCTGTCTCTGTGTTTGGACCCCGGACCTCTCTGGATAACGCCCCTGGATAACCCTGAACGGAGTGCCTGCCTGCCTGTTGGCTGCACAAACAGTAACCCCCCACAGCCCTGGACCAAGTCGGCTCCTCAGACTCGGAAGGGTTTCTTTTTTATTCTATTTGTCAAGTTGGGTTTGATCTACTCCCTTAAGTCTTGCCCCCCCTCCACTGGCCGCTGCCTTGGCCCACTGGACAACTTGCTGTAATTTATAAATGTTTTATATCAGGTTGGGTCCGGATTAGCCAGCAGGTGGGTCTGGATCCAGATCTGGTCCGCTAAGTATGAGACTCAAAATGAAACAAGTCAAAGAAGAACGAACTGATGTTATTTGGAAATAAAATATTTGTCTCAATCCACAAACAGTCAACAATAAACTATTTTTCCAGACTTTGTTGCTTTAATTTTTTTATAATTGTTTTTATTGTATAAAAAAACTGTAAAAACTCCTTAAAACGCCTAAAATGACCGTGGCTGGGATAATTATATGATTTAACTACATCTCCCATGATGCTCCTCTCCTCCCGTTGCCAGGATACGGTAAATTCTCTGTTGCTCAGGCAGCCACTCTGACGAACCCCGTTTGGCGACAGATAAACTGGTTTTAAACTGGTTTATTGTGGCTGTTCTCCAGTATAAACCAGTGAGAGGTTAGCTGTTAGCTCCAGGCTGGTTATCAGCTGCTATTCTACAGGTTTAGATCTTTAAAAGCTGCTGTTAGCCGTTAGCTCAGTTAGCTCCGGTTAGAGCTGAACCTTCATTTGTCTTCAGACGGTTTATGGACCAGAACCGGTCCATTCACACCGTTATCTGGCGTTTAGAACCGGAACCGAAGCTGCTGTGACCCAGAGAGAGGAGAGCCGGAGCGGAGCCGCCATGGAGCGGGGGAAGGAGGCCCAGCTGCTGAGGAACCAGCCCTACGATGAGAGCCTGGAGGTGGAGGATGGAGAGGAGGTCCCCAGCCTCTACAGCCCGGCCCCCCGGGGACAGAGACAGGTACCGCGGGTTAGAGACCATCATTTACTGCCTGGATGGATGGACATAATCCCATCAGGGATTATTAATCTGTCTCTGTCAGCCAGAGGCCAGCAGGAAGCAGCTGGAGCCAGAGGGGCCAAAGCCAGGGGCCAGTCCCAGCCAGGAGGAGGAGGAGGAGGAGGAGGAGGAAGACTCTGAGGAGGATGACACAGATGAAGATGATGATGATGATGATGATGAGACCACTGAGGCTGTAGAGGGAGCCTATGACCCTGCAGATTATGCCAACCTGCCCGTTACCACGGAGATCAAGGAGCTGTTCCAGTACATCACCCGGTGAGGACCGGTCCAGAGAGCAGAACCTCTCCGCTGGGCCCAGAACCACCTACAGCTTTCTATAAGCAGGTTCTATGTCTTCTAGCTCTATGCTCTGACCACTCTGGCAGATGTTCTGTGGTTCTTTCCTCACAGCCTGAGGAAAGAACCACAGCCTGCTGCTCTAGATGTTCTAGATCTTCTCTTCAGGGGCCGTATTCATCAAACTCCTCACAGACATTTTTTACTCTCTGCTGAGATTTAGAGGAATTTCCTCTGACTCTCAAATTTAAGATAAAAGCTAATCTCTCTTCCTCCTCCAGATGTTTCAGAACCTCCAGATGTGTCTGTAATGGTAGGAGCTGCCACTAGAGGGCGCTGCTGAGCAGACAGAGATCTGTAGAGGTTTTGTTTTCTGAGGACTCAGAGCTGATTGGACAGAGCGTCTATAATCTGTGTTAGGGACGTAATCCCAGCAGGAGCCTCCTGCAGCAGAGCTTCATTCTGGGATTAAAGCCGCTACAGCATGGGCTGATTTCACTACAGTTCATCACTAAACATCTGGAAACATCAGTGAGGATAGAATAACTGGCTGCCTATAGGCAGGGGTGGATTCAGGAATTATGGGGCCCCAGGCAAAGACAGGCAGGGGCCCCTCTGTATGGAGATGAAAACACCTGGTATAATTCAGCTTGATTAGAAGCAGGACTCACAATTTACCCCCAGAGATTCTGCTACAGGAATCAGGTAAAATATGTTACTTTATTAATTTGATACGAAAGTAAAACTATCCAACCACTTAGTAAGAAATTGGTTGATTTTTTTTTTATTACAATGATTTATAACAAAAAAAATCACAGTACTACAAAGAATCAATAGTTCATTCAATAGTAATTCAGTATAAACAGATCAATAACCAAAAATCCTTTATAACCTTTTTATAAGTTAGACTCTAAACACTGAATTTATTCCAGCAAAAACACTTTAATAACTGAGAGCAAAAACTGCTCATTCTTTATATTAATAATAATAATGTCCACAAAGGAGGTCCACATCCTCTGAACTCAAAACAAAGTCCTGGAAGTGTTTAAGTCTAAAGTCCCGTTCCAAAAAGAGAAATCCAAACGACACATCCCCCCAAAAAAAAGATTTAAATAAAATAGTGGTAGATCCAGATAAGTCCAGATTTCACCGGGAGCGTCTTTCTTTCCCCTTGGTGGCATCTTCCTCCACCAGGCGGCGTCCTCTGAGTTCCCATCAGTTTGTAAATGTCCGTTCTGCAGCACTGGGACCAACTTTGATCGCTGTTTCATCTTCTTTTATTTTTAACTAGTTTTTAACATTTAACCAAAACAAAAATCTCCTGCTGCACAGATCTGACAGTCAGTGTCTTCCTCTCTGGTAAAGCCACGCTGACGCACACGTTCTTTTTATTAAATGATTTTCTCCACACCAAAAAAAAAAATGCAAGTGTCCTGCATGCGCAGTAGAGGACGCAATGACATCACAGGCCAGCGTGCTCTTTTATTTCCGGAAGTAAACATGGACGGTAGCGCCGGCGCGAATCTAGCGCTCTTTCCCAACCATAAAAACTCAATCTTTTCAATATGTTTAAACATAAATACTGCTCTCCATATCACCATCCACCATGGTTGTTGTTTTTCTTGCCGCTTCTGTGTAGAAACACGCAGAATAGTGACCACTGTCTGGTATTAATGACGTTCAGTTTGGATGAATCCAACCTGGCCGTTCAGACTCAGGTTGCATTAAGATCAGATTCATATCGGATTCAGGACCACAGAGCCAAGGGTTCTAGGTCACATTGGAACAAATCGGATCTGTGTCGTTCAGACAGCCATGGAAAGATCAGATCCAGGTCACATATGGGCCAAATAATCGGATGTGGGTAACTTCAGCCAGCAGTGTGAACGTAGCCTTAGAGTTACATCATCTAGAATCCATCTGCAGCACCAGGTTCTGAGTCCCACTGATGATCTAGACTTTGGTCACTGAATGAGACTCTGGATGAAGAACCCTGAAGTCCAGATTAGAACTAGGATAGTTTTTGCTCATTAAGTCGACTCTTAGAGAGTTTTTAGGACTGATTCTAAGAAGTTTGATAAATACGGATCCTGATCATCAGTTTCCTCGAAGCAAAGATGAATAAATGTTTACAAGAACCCTGACTGGAAGCTCCAGACTATGTGTGACCCGGTACCAGCACTGTTACCAGGTTACCAGCAGTTCTGACTGACCGGCCCGTCTCCTCTGTGTTCTCCTCTCAGCTACTCTCCTCAGACCTTAGAGCTGGAGCACTGCCTCAGACCCTTCATCCCAGACTTCATCCCTACTGCTGGAGACATCGACGCCTTCCTGAAGGTACAGAACCACAACACACAGACCGTGTCCGAGCATCCACCCTCACTCCTCTATAAGGACATTTACAGCGAAAAATAAGAATATCTGAATGTTTTTAAGGTCACTGTTTGTTTTTAATATGTCTGAGTTTATAAAGTCTGTGCTTATAATGCCTGAGTTTATAAGATTAGAGTTTATAAAATCTGAGTTTATATCTGAGTTTATAACATCAAAGTTT